CTGTAGATGGGGGACCTCAGTATACCTTGTTAGTTTGTCGTGCTAGCACAGAGCTAATACATATAAGGTAATATAATGTCGGTGCTAGCACGAGGGCTAACAGGCTAAGCTGAGGTTCTTCTTCCATGAAGCAGCTCTGTTGTCCTCTATCCACATTTTCAGTTACAGGCTGAGTCATTTCTACCTTCTCCTCTCTGTCAACGCTCTCTGGTTTCATTTAAAAGAGTCGATCATCAGATATTGTCCAAGGTTAACCTTCAGGGTGGATATAGCTCACTCACACCGAGGACCTATCCACATCATCATTTACCCAGAATGCTTTGCATGTAAATAAAATGGCTCTGTCCATGTTAAAATATATTTTTAAAAATGTACAAAACTAAACAGCCTACAGTATTTTTATAGTCTTTATTTTACAGTTAAAATAAATGTTTATCAAATAAAGCCTAATGTTACAACTAATTGGGGATCCCTTTAAAGAAGTGCATATCACCTGCAGCCTTTCATGTCTGAATTTTGGACTAAGATCATCAGTTATGATGAGAATGGAAAGAGTTATGACTTTTATCCTAATATAAGTAAAAATGAATTATAAACAATTTTGGGGTTTTCTAAGGTCAGTAGACTATGGCAGACATTTTCAATTGGGCTAACTCCAAACCATCATCAGATGCAGATCTGATTATTTCCTCTAATTTTCATTCAAATCGGTTGAGTGGTTAATGAGATATTTTACCAACAGGCTTGGCAGATACCTACTGAGCCCGCGAGGGGACATGGGGGATTTTTTTCTTTTTGCGTTCCCATGCAAAAGTCGTTTATCACTGTTGTGCCTGCCGGTTTATAAACAAACTCACATGTTCAACATTAGCGAGTTAGCCTACTGCTTTAATTCAGCTTCAGAATGAATATATCACACAACCACGCATGGAAGTATGTCATATGCCGATATTTGAACACAGTGCAGCCACGCAACATCAATGTCAATTTCAAAAACTTAAAGCGACACATCCTGTTTTGGTAAACGGATATTTCAAAATAAAAGTCTGATTTAATTCAGTTCATGTACAAATCGAACTTTTGCGCTGGAACGCAAAACAATATTGTGAGGTAACGCAAAGGTATTGCGAGGGAATGCAAAAGAAAAAAATCCCCCCATCTCCCCTCGCGGGCTCCGTAGATACCAGATGGTCAATGGTCATTTTTTTTCTAACACAGATCTTGCACGATCTCATAGCTCTTTGAATATTGGCTAACCACATCATGTTTTAGGTAAACATCTGTAAAACTAGCTGAGTTAACTTCTAGATATGTTTTGTTTGTTGGTGCTGATTAGTTGTAGGCAGCTTTTCTTTCTTGAGTGAAGTTACCTCCAGGCTGAATCAGTTGTARATGTACATCCAGTCATTACTTTAAGAGTTCTATTAAATAAAATCTGCGCACTGGGTTATGAAATATTGAATGAACACACAAACAGGCATGGGCAAAAACTTTACAATCCGCCTTCACCTCGTGGTGGTAGGCGATAACAACAGTAAAGTAACAGTGAATGAGTAGAGCTCTCTAACTTACCCCTTGAGACAGTTGATAGGTCTGGTTGTACTTCCACATGTCCTTCAAGATCATCTCCACTGTGTCTGGACACGGCACCTCCCCATGGAAGTCCAACCCCATGAGGGCGGCCATTCTAGGCAGGAGTCCAGGAATCTGCTCCAGCTGCTGCCGGGCATGCTCCACACGGTAAGTCCAAGCATGGTCAACCAGGACAATACTGCCAGAAACATATCAGAAAGCTTTAATGCTGACTCAGCATTCACACTGTTGTTCTGCTGTTCTGTCACCTGCAGTGAGTCCAGAACGTAAGCAAGCACTGGCAGAGTTGTAAAGTAACTAAGTACAAATACTTTGTTACTGTACTTAAGTAGAATTTTTGGGTATCTGTACTTTACTTGAGTAATTATTTTCCGCCTACTTTTTACTTCTACTTCTTACATTTTCACACAATTATCTGCACTTTTTACTTCTTACATTTTTAAACAAGGCAAGAAGTAGAAAGTCGTTACTTTTATTTCATTTTTGCTTGTTTTCATTCCGGCTTGTTATTGTAAAAAATAAATACTATCCGTACAAACTGTGCCTCCTAGATAGAGTGAATTTAACTGTGGTTGAATGAGAAGTATAAATATATAAAATTCTGATAGTGTATTAGTTTGTACACAAACAAATCATGTCACACTCTAGAAGGACATAATCATTAAAATAAAAGGACTTAAGAAGTATTTGTATTTCATGAATTATATTATTRCATTTGGCTGCAGCCCTCAGATAGACTTTTAATTTGGGGAAAAGATTTGTGCAGCCTTGATATATGTATATAAACTGAAACAGACTAGACTAGTGCATCCTAAATTTAACATAAATT